TTGATTCTAGATAAATTAGCAAAATCTCTGAGAAAAGTTGATCTCTCTTTTTAAATTCAAATCAAAAAATAGCAATAAGATTTTATTAGTTTTAATATTTAATCAACTTTTTTTTTGTAAAAAAAGTATTATTTATAAGATAATATCATCATATTTTTTTAAATACCATTATTTGCATAAGAATTACACATATTTTATATAATTATAAAAAATTACTTTTTTTAAAATAGAGTCTTTATACATTATAATTTTTAATATTAAAATCTGTAATATATAAAATCAACATTTTGAAAATATTTTAATTATTAAAAATATATATATGATTAAATAAAGGAATGTAAAATATATAATAAAATAGCCTAAAATTTTGTTATATGAAAATATAAATATGATTAAATAAAGGAATGTAAAATATATAATAAAATAGCCTAAAATTTTGTTATATGAAAATATAAAACAATTTTAACAAATCCAAAAATATGAGCAATTAAGTGTAAAAAAAATTTTAAACCCCCCCCCCCCCCCCATGATAAAATCCTGGCTACGCCACTGAACTATATAAATAATAACCAAAATATTTTAATAATAATACTGCTTATTTTGATTAATTTATTGCTTAAAAAATTATAAACAATTATTTTGTTACTTGTTGCTGACGATACATTTAAATTTGGTACTGCAGTGAACACATACTCTATTTTTTTATTGGGACTATAAGTAAAATGTTTCTTGGACAAACTTATGGTTTTCATATTGTAAAATAAAAATTAATAAAATCTAAAATAACTCATCTAGAAAAATATCATAAAATAAAATATACAAAAAAATTATATTAATTGAATATTAAGGCAAACTTAAATAATAATAAAAGACCGGTCCGGATCGCGGTCTGGACCGTAAAAAATAAAAGACCGGTCTGAACCACGGTCCTCAAAAAAGACCGGTCCAACAATCGGTCCGGTCCGGTCCCGGTCTAAGACCGTCACTACCTTTGGTAGACTTACAAAAAACGAATCGAATAATATCTTTCGAATAGAATAATTGTGCCTTCATATTCATACAAATCGAATAATTCATTATTCTTATTCATACAAATAAAATCATTATTTGATTCGATTCGAAAATTTTTCTGAAGTTAATAAATTATATTTTACAAAAAAATTATAAACAGATGTGGGTGTCTTAAAAAGGCACCTTTAAGGATTCTACTAAAACTAAAATTGTCATTAGCATATCATTTCTTGAATGGGGAGGGGGGGGGGTAGATATAGATTTTTGAGGGATTTTCAGAAAATAACAAACAAAATAAATCCAATGATTTCATAACATTATCTGTCCGAACAAATTGGCCAAAAAAACCTGATTTTTAGAATAAAAATTTCTTATAAAAATATTTAAATTCTTTTCTATACGTTATTTTTTTGATCTAATATTCTCAAATTCTATTAAAATTTTCTAAAAATATACATAAACATTTTATAAACATTAAAATATAATATAGAAAAAATATAATTATGATAGTTCCTAATTTGACAACAACCGGTTTTTCAAGCATAGTCTTTCTATAATGGTTTCTTTTCTACTGAGAATAACCACTTACAAGCTGAAAATCCTTGAATGGGCATCAGTTGCCAAATACGAATAATTTTGAATAACTCGAATCGAAAAATATAATTACTAATTCGACGAATATTTTTCTCATTATTCATATTCGATTCGAATTTTCGAATCAAATAATTGTTCTATTCGTATTCGTAAAATACGAATGGAATTGAATAACAAATAATTAGTTTTAGGTCTACCCTTTAGCAATGCAGTATTTAGTCATACCGTTCGTTATTATCGTTGGATAGTAATGAGTAAAATAACATAGAATATGGAAATGCAAAATTATAAATTTTATTTTTAAATTTAATTTCTTGGTCTCGGTGCGGCGAGCTGATATCTTATTTATACAATTTTTTTAGCCTATTTTTGAGCGTAGATTTATTAATTATTTTAGTAATTTCCCCGAATAGGCGAGTCATGATTTAATCTCTTTTTAGGTGATTATTATATTTGTGTTATTTATATTTATATTAAAAAATTTACATTATTTTTGATTGTATTTATGTTTTCACATATAAAAGGTGAGAAAATTGTAAATTATTAATTTTCCTTTCTTGTATAAAAACTTTAATCCAAAGAAGTCATTAGGTATAAAAAAAGAATATTTTAAATAAAGGTTTAGGCGGCACATTGCAATAGAAATCTCAATACAAAGGCCTTACATTATTATCTATCTACTTATTACATCTCCAACAAGTCCGACATTTTATGAGTAATGATTCGATGAAGCTTATGATATAATAAAAGACCTAGGATTTTTGCAGATGGTGATAATCAAGTCATTTTAACTGTATTAAACTTCCGATGTAAAAGCGGTATGAGCAAAATATGGGAAGTGGTATAACCTATAAAACATAACTCCGATATCGGCGGGAGCACCTTGTCCTTTAAAGGAAGTGTAATCTTACTAAGTTTAACTTCTTCAAAAATAAATATGGCCGTTTGGGACAATATTCATGCAAAGATTCTGGCTGAATTTAAAATTTGCTATTGGAAAATTATTTACAACTTACGATTAATTAAAAAAAAAATTTTAAATTATAATAAGTGTAAAATCTGTAAAAAAAAAAACTTTACCAAGCAAACAAACATTATTTCTAGAATGAAACAATTAAAATATTTGAGAAATTAAGTAATGCATTAGTTTATGAACATATTTTTTATATTTACTAATATATTAAACTAAATAAAGTTAATATTGTCATATAAGCATAAAATTGAATTTGATCATAATTATCACAGGCGCGTGCGCAGGAATTTGGATTGGGGGGGGGGGGGGATTAATAAAATTTTTTAATAAATATTATTGTTAATTAAAAATACTAAGCATAAATTTATTAGGACTAATAACTTTTCTAATACACAATTTTAAATTAATGTTAATTAAAAAAATATTATATATATAAACCAGCATTGAAAAACTATAAAATATATGTAAATTATAAAATATAAAGTGAATATAACCACGATATGAATAACTTAAATGACCCAAAATTGAAATTTGAATTTTTTGAGCCTTTAAAATATATAAAGTATAAAAAATTTAAATATTGGAAATATAATTTAATACACAAAAAATTTCTTAGGAATAATTGTATTTTGTATGTTTTGAGCTAATTTTTCAATTATCTATCCTTGCTTGGCGTTAAATACCTATGATTATTCAAAAGATCCAAATCATTCAATTTACTTTCAGAAGTTGTATTTCATAGGTATGTTTTTCAGAGACTTGCAGACCCGGCCCCCGAGCCGGACCGTATTTTGATTTTTTTAAACATATCCGGGCCGGGCTAGAAATTTTTTTTTAAAAAAAACACCGGGTTGGGCCTGAAAAACTTTTTAAAAAAAATATCTGGGCCGAACTGTATATTTTAAAACCAAATATTTGACATCTCCATTATAAAAATCAAAAATAAATATAATTTATTTTTAAAAAATTCGGACCGGGCCTGAAAATTTTATTTTCAAAAAAGCCGGGTCGAAAATAATTTTAAAAAAAAATCTGGACCGTGCCCTGCAAATGGTACCTCTGCATGGCTCTGTTATTCTGTTCTCTCATTAGTTTACTAATGGGAAGAGTTGCTAATATATATATAGCCATTTTAATACATTGGAAATATAATCTAAAATGTGTTTGAAATAATGCAACGCATCCATAGCATTTTTTGGGACTGTATCAACCATGGTTAATCTTTTAATCATATTCAGCTAATAAGGCATCATAAAATATTTTAACATCTTCATGATAAAAATCTAACAAATATTTTTTTTTTATCACCAACTGAAAAAGGTTGGAAAGGCTTTTGTGGAAGTAATATCTGCGGATTTGTAAGTGCTGCATGATGAATTAAAAACCATTCATTTATTTGGGTTATAAATGTATCTAAGAGAGGGGACATTTGTTTTTTAATACTTTTCTACTGATCCTATATTCATGTTTTAACGATGAGCTTGCTTGCAAGTCGAGGGGGACAAATATTAAACACGTATAGCTCTGCTTTTGACTCAAAAATAACATATAAAATATGAAATTCTTCGTCAACATCAGCTCTAATTTCCTTGAGTTCTAATAAAATGCTCTCCGCTATTCTCATCTTCTTAATCAAGTCAATGTCATGTTTTTGAAAAGTATTACATAAAATAGTTGTATAATTAAATAATACATTTTAATGAGAAAAAATTTGCGATAGGTATTGAATCCAATAATTTTCTTGCTTCTGAGGAAATATTTCTTTCAAGCCATTGTGATATTTCAGTAATAGCATTAATAATCGGCTCTTCTAACTCCATAAAAGCTGTTGACTTGATCTCGTTGGACAAGCTTGCAATTTCTTCCTTCCTGGTGGACAAGGAGTTTCAGAGATAATTATTATTTGACTAGAAATTAGATAAATAATACGCCACATTTGAAAATAATAGGTAAATTACGCCAAGGAAAACTTGAAATCGAAATTAATTGATAAAATAACTTGGTAGATGAATGTGATAAAAAAATATAATTAAATATATATATGAGATAGGAATAAATATTAACAAATATAAATTAATATTAACAATAATATTTTTGAAAAATATAATCCGGCATCTGCATTTTTTGGCTTTGGGAATAGGGAGGGGGGGGGGATTTGTCCCCCTTCCCCCCTCCTCTGCGTACGCTCCTGTAATATCTATAAAAAATAAATGGTAATATTTTCTATAAGATTTTATTTTGAAAGTAATATGCTGTGTTTGGAAATTAAGGTAATAAAATTTATTCTGTAATAACGTTTTGATTTTCGGACATGACCTTGTATTTTTAAAGCAATGTCTACAGAATTAAATTCTAAAAATATCATACCAAAAAATCAAAAGATTAAAAATACCGTTATTATAATAAAAATGGTTCATATTACTTATTAGGGATTTTGGTGAGAATATCTTTGGTCAAAATGGAAGCGAATGAATAAGAGTCAGAAGATGATTTAAAACGGGCTTGAGTTACTCCTTTAATAGTTTGACTGTAGATAAGACCATTGAAATCACCATCTGGTCCCATCTTGTGTTCATTGACTATAGGTGAATTTTTATAGCAAAAATTTGATTTATTATCTCCTTCCGGTCCAATGGAATTGTTAGCATACTTTTCGTTTATCATATTTTCCCAGTCATCTTCACAACACATTTCAACAAATTTTTCAAAAAGTAGCTGAGCGTTAGGTATTGAATAACTAAGTTCAGGTAGGTTTTCAATAATCCGTTCAAAACCCTAAGATATTTTATAGATATATAAGCTAATTATGGAAATCTCAATTAATATCTTATCGAATGAAAAATATTTTATAAGCTTTTTACTAAGGCTGCACCGATATACAATTTTTTCATCTATCCGATATTTATTTCAAACTGCATCGATACCGATCCGATATTTACATTTATCTATTTTTATCATTATTTGATATAATATAAGATAATGCAATAATAAAAATATAAAATTTTTTTAAAGCGTTTTAATCATCCCTTAATTTTAGCCTTAATACAAATAAATATAAATTTATATGCTAGCACATTATATATGTATTAACATTTTATAAAAACAAATTAAATATCAAATAATAATATAATATAATTAAAACTAATATATTGGATATTTTTCTTTGATAAGAGCCTCAATAATATAATATAATTAAAACTAATATATTTGATATTTTTCTTTATAAAGATAAGAATTTCAAGTTTATGCTATAATAAGCCTCTCCTATGTGTGCTATCTATAACACTAGCTGTGTTTATGACTGATTTAGGTGGAACACTTGCTACAAGAGATGCCAAATACTTACGTGCAAGATTTGCTAACGTTGGAAATCTTTGAGCATTCAGCCTCAAATACCAAAATAAGTGAATGATGCAAATTTTTTTATTCCAAGAGCGTTAATAAATAGGTGAAATGAGAGTTGACCGTGCTGTGGTTTAAGGGAAGTTTCTAACAAATAAAACTTTCCATGACAAGGAGATTGATAGAGTATGTAACAAAAACCTCGGATTAATAACATATTAATGAAAATTATATTAAATAGCTTAAAACTAAATATTAATATATTGAATTTGATTATATTTAACCTTGACTGCTCAAATTATAGCATATTATTTGACTATTAAAAAAAACCTAACCATAAGAGATTGAATAATATGCGTTTTGCGGGATAAAGATATTATCACATTTTAATCGTAAAGGGGAGTATAGTGCACCGTAAACAGTTATCATTATGCAGCAGTGATAACATAGTGGTGATATCGCTGCGATATTTTCATATCATTCAAATTTCGATCCGTCGATCGCCGTAACATTTTCATAAAGGTGTACATTTAATTTTGAAAAATATGCCATGATATTCTTTTCTTTTCTTCTCTTCATTTTATTCTTTTAAAATAAATTAAAATATAAAAAGATTTACGAATAATAAAATGATCTTTACAATTTCTTTTTAATGTAATAAATATAATCTATTTCAAAATTAATATATTTTTTGTTAAAATAAATCACTTTATCAAATAAAATATATGTAAAAAAATGGAAACTACAAGACTACAACCAATAGAATGGGAATTTCTTTCATTTATTTTTTATTTCAAAGAAAATAATGAAGTAACCGGTTGGGGTGGATACATTTAAATTTATAAAAAATACCTTGTCAACGGAGTTGTAGTCCAGACAATCATCCACATCGACCAGGTAAGCCAAGAGGTGCCTAATTTTAAATGCATTTTTTTTTGTGCCATCTTGAAGGGCCAGCTTAATGGCACGATAAACATACTCATGATTGAAATGGGGAACATTAAGTTCTCTCAAAGCCTGTCCAGCGTTTTCAAACTCGTTTTTACCGTAAGAGCTCGCACGATTTTTAGATACGTTTATATCATTCACAGTTGACCGAATATCAGAGTATAGAAAATTTTTCAAAATACGAGTTATGGTCTTCATGAGAGTTTTAACCGGGATAACGCTGCCAGATATTCCCCAAATTTGACTGAGCGCAGCCAAGGGTGCTCTGGTATTCAGGTCAAAATTAGTTTTGGTATAGAGAGGCAGATTTAGCAGACATCTAGCTTGGTTCAAAGATAATCTATTAAAAGATAATTAAACATGATGGATAGACTTTATGAATTAATCATATATAATGGATTGTTATTATATTTACCCCATCTCGTTTATATACTATCCTTGATTTTTAACTTACATTAATTTTCAAATTCAAAAATAATTATCTCTAAAAAATTTTTAAAATTAATTTAATTATATACGATATAAATTAATGTAAAAATATATTTAGAATCTAATTTTTATAAATAACAAGGAAAATATGTGTTTAAATGCTTAATGTAAATGTTGGCCCATGTAAATTTATCTACCTATTTTTAAAAATTAATAATCGTCTGCTTTTTTAAAAACAATTATATTATAATTTAATTAATTTACAACCTTTCTAAATATTATTATTTCAAAGTCAGACAACAAATGTTCAAATTCGTAAGATCATTATTAACCCATATAAGAGAAGAAATTCTGAAGTCAATCTACCATTAGCTTACTACATAAATATAAAAATACAGGAGTTTTTGAGCCTAATTAAAATATAAGAAGATTATACGAAAGTATTTAAAAATAGGCATGACTCTTCTTTAAAAAATATGATTTGATTGGATTTCGGAATGAGAGACTTTTCACAACTATCTATGAAGATTACATTCAATGGGATATTCCTTCCACAAAGAAAAAAAAATTCAATTGAAATTTTGACATCATACTATTTAATATAGCCCAAGAAGAAACCATATTTAACAACATTACAAAAGAAAAAAGATTAAATTGGGCTTAAAATTAAAATACGTAAATAAGACAAAAGAACAATGTGGAAATACAATTAACGACGAATCCATTTTTAGAAATATATTTTGGGATAGCACGAAATAGGGTCTATAAGAAAATAAGCAGAAACCTTCCATCTTGATTGATTTTAAAGAGCCGTTAAGTTTTCATATAGTACAATGGTATGGAGTTGCGTGAGCAAAAGGCCTAGGAATTTTATTAATAAATAATATAATAATTTCTATTAAATAGCAAGATATCATTAACCAACTACTAATGACCAGGGTTGTGAACCCTCCTTATAAGAAAAGTTCTGGTTCAGTGAAATATCCCTTTAACAAGTTCGGGTTCGCATTCCAGAAAAAAAGACTTATAAAATTTAGTAAAAATAACAAAAACATCAGTTTTTTAAAATGTATTTTATTATATTTAGTATTCACCATAAAATTTATCATCATAATAATACTACAATTTAAATAATAATATATTTGTTTTTTTTAAATTTTATAAGCGAATCATCATGATAACTTCCAAAATCTAGATGTAAAAATTAAAATATCGATTTTTTATACCTAAGGCTTCATTTATTAAATGTATGTAAGTAAGCATTGCTTTATTTAAAGCAGCATTATTACAAAATTGAGTCAATAAATAGGTAAAAAATATATAAATATGAAGCGTTATGATGATAACGCTATATGACATTTGAAAACCATGTCGCGATAGTTGATAAAAAAATATGCAATGCGATTATAAAAATAATAGCGAATTCGAAAAGTATTTCTTAAATATTATATAAAATAATTATCTCTATTTTAGCTTTATCTTAAATTAGTTTTTAAAAACTGAATGAGCTGTCAAAACGCTGCGTTAAATAACGCAATGCTGAAGATAACGCGTTTACTATAAATGAGACCTAACTTTGACAGTGCATTGCAAATTGCGTTTAATAAAACTATTGTGATTTTGTTTTTTAGTCTTTTAATTTAATAATCCAATAAACAACAATAAATATTTCTAAAATATATATAATATTATCAATTATGAAAAAAACTTATAAAAATGTGCTGGGAAAGTTATCAAATTTTTACAAATAAAAATGATTCCAAGAAAAATTATTTTCACAAAATATGTTTTTATATCGAAATATAAAAAAATATGTTTTATTACATTTTATTTATTTAATTTAAATATAGTTTTATTTTTATGTTATTTTTAATATATATTTTTAAATAAAAATTTAATGTTTAAACAAAAAATTCTTGAACCTTAATCCCTAAATTTCAAAAAAAGTTCAATCTGGTTTGAGTTCAGCAAAATATCGAGGGTTCTATTTTACGATTCGGGTTCACAACTAGTGATCTGCATCGGGTCTAATTTTTCAAGCCCGGCCCGAAATTTTTTTAAAAAAGTTTTACCCGGCCCGGACCGAACCCTAATTTTTTTAAAAAATGTTTTGCCGGCCCGGCCCGAATTTATTCAAATATAGAAATTAATTTTTATAATTACACAAAATAAACGATATATGTTATATGGGGTCTAATTTCTATAAATAAAATAAAATATTTTTATTTTGCATAAAAAATTCAACATAAAATTGATAAATCTATATATATTTTTAAAAAAATTCTAAGGCCCGACCAAGCCTGTTCTTAAAAACGGGCCGGGCATACTTTTGCAGATCTCTATAGCCCTGATTAGGACATGAAGCTAATTACACCTTATAGCAGGATGGATTTCTTTAAAAACCTTAAGAGGATCATAATATCAAAAGGTTAACATGCAGTAGATCTGAATCTTATTAAAAACATATGAGGTTTACTTAAGCGAAAGTTTTGTAAACAATTTCCTAAAAGAAAGGATTCAAGAATAAAATTTAGTCACCATCTTACAAACCCAATAGTCCCTACCAAATGCTTACACGTTTGATCCAGCCGACTCCACTGATGTAGAAATATTTTTAGTGACACCAAAACTATTTGTAATTTTCCGATTACCTAGCATGATATTATGGACGAAATACCGTCTTACCATGAAGCAGCTTCTCTAATTGTGGTCACTTATTAGAAAGGCTATTCCTTCCATCAAAAGCGATTCCTCGCCTAGGTTTGATGGGTTTCGCTCAATATTCCTACAGGATCTAACCGCACTTTACATCGCATAACAATGCGACATTTTGGAAAAAATTACCTAACTCATCAACCATATGCTTACTGGAGGCATACCATTCCGCCATAATTCCACTCCTATACGGAGCTTAACTCATCTCTCTCCATAAACCTAATAAAGATATTCGCCCTATTTTAATTGGATTCACTTGGCGCTGATTAACCACCAAGAAAGCAGAATATTTTTCACAATATTCAATCATCTGTGTCCAAATCAATTAGGAGTCAACGTAAAAGGGGGATGTGAGCGATCCCTTCACACGACCCGGATGTATTTACATAGACCCCAGCGACTATGTCTTAGTTAAAATAGACTTTTTGAACGCCTTTAACTCTCTAATCCATAGAGCGTTTTAAAATCCTATTTCGAATATTATGCTAGTCCCTCTTATCTTCAATTTGGAGATAGATTGATTTTTTCTAGAGATGGAATATGTTTCTTTCTAGCGATGAAATACAACAAGGTGACCCTCTAGGTTCTTTTTGTTTTGTCTGGGCATTAATAGCCCAATATAAAGCATAAATGACCAAAGCAGGTTAACATAATTTGTATATCGACACCGGATGAAGTTATGAAGGCAATCAAAATAATAAAATCCAGCGAGAGTAGTTTAGTACTGAAAATTAATCAAGACAAGAGCGAATATGTCCTCTTGTTTGTCAAGTTCTTCGCCGATATTTTACGAAAGATATCCCACATGAGCGATACACTATCCCGCCTCCCAGCCCATCAAACTTTAGCTTTCTTCCTATTGATTAACTACCTTCTAATCACAAGAATTTTATATACACTCCGATCATCACGAATCTTTCAATACGATGTGAACCTCGCTGCGCATGAGTTCGAGATCCTCAATCTTAAATTAGGAGACCTATCTTGGTTACAGGCTATGTTACTAACCAAATCCGGCGGCATTGGCATAAGGTCACCCTCCCTACTTTCCGTTAGTGCGTTCATATCTTCTCGCTTGTTATGCGAGCCCATCATATACACACTCACAAAACATCCTGACCCCTTGCTTCTGTGGACAATTGATCTATGGAAGTCTATCTTATTAGTCGATCCTACCTCATCGGCACTATAGAAGGACTGCGATAAGCTAGTTGGCAACTCCATTCCATACCTTAAATCGAGGAACCAACCCTAGGATCATTCTCTATTCTTCTCCATTTCCGCAGACAGCGGGTAGGAATTTTTCGAGGCTTTCCCATCGCGAGACCTTAACCAGATCCTAAGCAATGATATGCTACGTCACGCCAATTGGCCTTAGACCTAATTGTATATGGTAAATCACTGTATCATATTTCAAACGTCGGTCAACTCGGGGATTCCCTAACCTGGGATTTCTCATGCATCGATCCTCTTGCCCCTTCCAATATAGAGATAGGGGAGACCGTGGTAAAACGATAGGCATTTTGCATATTTACCATAAAAATTTTAAACAAGAGTCAAACACAACAAATTATAGATCAATGTGTAGCCCCATCTCTCTTCTACAAGATAAAAAAAAGTGTAGCCCTCTACCTATAATATTTTAGGAGCTATGATTAGTTATGTAAAACTACTCATTTTCGCCATTTTACCCTGGGTACAGGATAAAATGGATAAGCACTAAAGTAAAGTGGTTAAAATAATATTTGACACATATTTATTGTTTTATTTAACAAATATTACAAATTTAAGATTTATTTATGATTTTTATTTAAAAACTAATCGATACAATAAGGACATGTAAAATAATTATCATAATTAGCACATTTAGAATGTGCCCATTCAAGGCACATTGTACATTTTAGCCATTCATCGCCCTCGCGACTATTTTTATAGTTTTTATTACAAATAACACATAAACAATTATTTTTTAATATCTTTTTTTTTCTCTGAATTAATAATTTTTTTTTATAAGGTGTAGATGTTAATATTTCTGAATTCCTTTTTTTAGATATTTTATCCGATGAAATATTGAATAATTTTGGAATAGGTATTATAGATGAAGGATTGAATACTTTATTATAATTTTTTGAGCATGATGGTAACATAGCATGATAAGGTTCATCAATATCATCTGGAACATTTTCGTTCAATAAT